CGTCTCCGCTTCTACCTTTGACTTCCATAGAGTCCTGTTCTCAACACAGCATTCAGAGTGCTCCTGTACAATATGTCAGTGGCTCCCCATTTCTTACTGTAACTTCCATTCTGTGTATTTTTTACCTAAAGATTGATTACCTTCTCAATGGATTACCTTCTCAATTAAGTAACCTGCTCCTCACCATCATCACCACATACACTCTCAATCCCTCTTACCCTACTTCACTTTTCATTTTCTTATAAAACTCAGTACCTTCTAACATTATCTATAGCAATTTATCATGTTTTATTTTCTGTTCTCTTTATTTTCCCACTCAAGTACTGTGTAAGCAATTTGATTATGCTGTGCTTTGGAGTAGTTTGATTCATCATCCTTCATTTAGGGGTTGTTGAGTTACTTGAGACTATGGGTTTTCGGTTTTCATCAAATTTGAAATTTGGAAAATTTTCCACCATAATGTCTTCAAATATTTCTTTCCTCCTCTCTACTCACCATTTTTCGTCTCTCCTTCAGAGACTTCAACTACACGTATTTTTGGGTCACCTGGAGTTGTCTCCTTGCTCAGTGTGCTGTTTATGTCTTTTCAGTCTGTTTTTGCTCTGCTTCATTTTGGAGAGTTCATTTTGTCGCCTTCAAGGTTACTAATCTTTTCTTCTGCAGCATCTGATCTATTGCTAATTTCATGTAGTGTAGTTTCCACCTCCAGGGATTTGATTTGTGTCTTTTTAATATCTTCCATGCCTCTTTTTACCATGTTTTCTTTCCTTTATCTTTGTTATTAGATGGACAATATTTACAATAACTATTTTAACATTATCCTTAACTACAATGTCAATTCTTGGTTTTTTCTTTGTATTAATTTTTCTCCTCATTATGGGAGAGATTTTTTGTCTACTTATTTCATGCCTGGTCTTTTTTTTCCTAGACACTGTGAGTTTTCTCTTGTGGCATGCTGACGTTTTTTGTATTCCTTTAAATATTCTGTTCCCTTAAATATTTTAATTTTGTTCTGGGGTGCAGTTACATTACTTGGAAACATTTTGATCTAGTCAAGGCTTACTTTTAAACTTTGATAGATGAGTCCTCAGCAGCCTTTAACGTATGCCCATTTGGCACCACTACTGAAGCAATACCCTTCTTAGGACTCTATCCATCCCCCCATTTGTTGTGAGGTTTTTCTGACCAATGGACAGAAAGACTAAGTGGGCCTTGGGTGCTCATCAGGGGTTGTTTCACTTGATCCTTCTGGAATTCTTTGCACAGCTTCCAGCAGTTTTCTCCCACGTGTTTGCTTATCAGCGTTCAGCTAAAGACTCAAAGGAATCCTCTGAAGGCCTCCGGTGCATGAGTGCTCTCCACCACCACCCCCCACCACCACCACCACCACCACCACTACCACCCCATCACCAACCACCACACACACCAGATCTTTCTTCCCTGTTACTTTCACCTCAGCTCAGGGACATTTCTGAACTCTGTTTGGTACTGCCTCTCTGTGCTGTGGCCTGGGAACCCTTTCAGGCAGTTAGCTAGGGCAACCATAGGGCTTGTCTTGTGTCCATTCTCTCAGGGATTACTGTCTTAAGCTGCCTCTTATATAACATTTAAAAACCAATTTTTCATATATTTTGTCATATCTTTACATTTAAGCAGAAAGGTTGAATTGGTCTCTGTGACTCTATCAGAATCAGAATTGGAAGTCTGCAGTACTGCATAAGTTCCCCAAAGACAGGAATCTTTGTGAATTTCATTCCCTAATCCCAAGCCCCCAGAACTGTGTCTGGCATATTAGGTACTCAGTAAATATTATTTGAATGAAACATTTGTTGAATAAGATTACATCTGAGAACTCTTTCAGCAATTATTTGAGTGTCGACTACATGCCAGGCACCAATTACACAGTGGTGAATAAGGCAGACAGTTCCTGCCTTCATAGAGCATCGTGCTTAAAGGGAAAGACATATATCAAAAAGAAAATAAACAAGCATGATTATAATTATATACTGTGGTAAGTGATGTTCTATGAAGGAAAAGAATGGGGTGCTTTGAGAGAGAATAATGAGGAAAGTCATTCTTGGGTGAAGTGTTCAGTAAAGACTCTACAAAGAGGCAATATTTCAGCTGCCCCCTGCAGGAAGAGAAAGAGCCAGCCTGTTGAGGCGATGGGAAGAATGTTTCAGGGAATTGCATGTGTGGAGCTGAGGCAGAGAAGAGCTTGGAGATCATGTGAAATTAGAGGAGACCTGTGCGAGGAGGGAAGAATGCCACACGTGGAATTGGAGCAGTGGGTAGGCCCAAAGCAGGCGGGACCCACAGGTTGTGTTATGATGTTCTAGTTTTCTACAAAGTACAATGGGAAGCTATTGAAAGTTTTAAAGAGGGAATGATAGGAGCCAATTTATATATTTTAAATGTCTTTCTAGCTACATATGGAGAATACTATTCCTGGCACAGTTAAAATTCTTAAACATTTTTTGTGCCCTAAACCTGTTGGGTTGCCTGTTGGAGAATATGGTCCCCTTCTCAGATTAATGTTTTCAAATTACAAATGAAACTAATTATATTGAAATATGGTTCATCAGAATATTTTTTAGAAAATATGTTGTAGGGATTAAATGAGATACTATAGGTAAAGTGGTTCTCACAGTTCTGACACATAACAAGGGCAGATAAATATTAGCAATTATCCTAATTACTGCTAGAATTTTGACATTGTTTTGGACTGTCACCCACAGGAGATTGCAATCTAGTTGAGGAAACAAGATAAAACACAAAATATATTTTGAGAAGGAAATCATTCAAATGTTCAAATACAAGAGATGAGCAACCCTAAGCTATGAATCTTGCCCAGAATGGCACTTTGTTTCATAACAAGATTTTGAGAGTTTCTGCCACATATTTGTGTGTGAGAATTGCAAACAAGTAATGATAGTGCTGGGTCTCTTCTTAACAAATGAGTTTTACATATTACTTGCATGACCTTGACCATGAGCATCTCCTTCGATTTTGTCCAGTTTCTGCTGCTTCTAGCTAAGCTCCTGTTTGGTGTAATAATGACTATGGCTCAGACAGTAAAAGGCACACAAAAAAGTAATCAAGATTCTGAAAGTCTGTTCTTTGCTTTCATTTAGAGGAGCTAAGACAAGAACAGCATGTTTCCTTTCATTCTGTCATAGTAGCATTTCATAAAGATGTGCAAAGAATTTTAATCAACCTTTAGAACTAACCCTGAAGTTGAGTAGTTTGTTTGTGGATGGCAAACAATAAGGGTTCAAGTTCTTTCTCTGCTGTGCACTTTGCTATATGACATTGAATAACCCGTGCAATGTGCTGAGCTTCAATTTTTCATTTATAAAAGGAGGATAACAGTTTCTACCTCAGATTATTGTGTAGATCAAAAGAGAAAACTTAAGTCAATGTCTGGAACAAAATAGAAGCACAATAAAAATATTTTATAAGCAATGGAATGCCAATTAAAAAGTGATGTTTGAGCCAAAAACTATCACAAGAGACAAAGAGGGTCATTATATAATGATAAAGGGGTCAACTCATCAAGAGGATATAACAATCATAAATATGTATGAGCCTAATAGTGAAGCACCTAAATATATTAAGCAAATATTCATAGACCTGAAGGGAGAAATAGACAACAATACAATAATAGTGGGACTTCAATACCCCACTTTTAATTATGGATAGATCCTCCAGACAGAAAATTAGAGCAAATGTTGGACTCGACCTTCATATTTGACCAAATGAACCTAACAAATGTATACAGAATATTTAATCCAACAGCAGCAGAACAGACATTCTTCTCAAGTGCACAGGGAACATTTTCCAGGATAAGTTCAATAACAGGTGACAAAACAAGTTTTAGCAAATGTAAGAAGATTGAAATCATACCAAGAATCTTTTCCAACCATAATGGTATGAAACTGGAAATCAATAACAGGAGGGAAAACTGAAAAATTCACAACTGTGTGGAAATTAAACAACACACTCCTAACAACCAGCCAATGCATCAAGAAGAAATAAAAAGGGAAATTAAAAAGTATCTTGAAACAAACCAAAAAATGGAAACACAACATACCAAAACTAATGGGAGGCAGCAAAAACAGTTCTAAGAGGAAAGTTTACAGTGATAAATGCCTACATTAGGGGAAAAAAGAACTAAAATAACCTAACTTTACATAGCCCTGGCCAGGGTGGCTCAGTTGGTTGGAGCATCGTCCTGTACACCAAAAGGCCGCAGGTTCGAGTCTCAGGGAACATAACTAGGTTGCGGGTTCATTTTTCTCTCTCTCTCTCTTAAAAAAAATTGATAAAGACATATCCTCAAGTAAGGATTAAGAAAAAACACAGATTACACACAAAATTAGCAAAAAGGAAGGAAGAAACAAAGATTAGAGCAGAAATAAGTGAAATGGAATCCAGAAAAACAATAGAAAAAAGATCAGTGAAACTAAGAGCTGGTTTTTTTGAAAAGATAAACAAAATTGACAAACCTTTAGCCAGACAAATAAATAAGCGGAAAGACTCAAATGAGTAAAATCTGAAACGAAAGAAGAGACAACTGATTCCACACAAATACCATGTACAAAGAATGGTAAGAGAATACTATAAAAAATCAAATGCCAATAAGTTGGATAACTCACTCTCAGGGCTGTACAAATGCAGAGTTGAGACTTGCATGACCTTGACCCTGAGCGTCTCCTTCAATGTTGTGCCCTAAGTGCCTCATCCCCCGCACCCTTGTCCTGGACCTGCTTGCAACAATCCTGTGAGGTCAAGATCACCAACTCCCTTCTCCGCAGGTGGGAAACAGAGGCTTATGGAGGCTGAGTATCTTGCTTCACTTTCACTTGAGCTAGTAAGTGGTGGAGTTAGGATTTGAACCTGAATTCTTGAGGGGAGTTGGACAGCAAAGCCTGGGCCTTGACTGGCTGCACCTACATCCATGCCGCCTCTGAAGTTTCGCTTGTTGTCTTCCTTTCCAGGTATCCAAGGCGGCTGCAGACTTGATGGCCTACTGTGAAGCTCATGCCAAGGAAGACCCCCTCCTGACTCCTGTTCCGGCTTCAGAGAACCCATTCAGGGAGAAGAAGTTTTTCTGCGCCATCCTTTAAGTCTCCATGAGGAACCTGCAGAGCCCTGGGGCTCCTGGGACACTGATGTAGAGTTTTTAGCAAAGTGGGCACCTTTCTAGCCCACAGCATTTAAATAGAGGGAGGAGAACCACCCCGGAAACTCCAGGCTATGCATGTTTAAAGAACTGGTCCCCTTTTTGACAATGAAAGCCAATCCACACCCTGAGTTAAGAGCTCTGATGTCTGCAGAACTGCCTGGAGGAGGGGACTGTGTAAATTTAAAATCCGCGTCATTTCTTTCCTGCTGTCCCTCCCAAAATGTTCTATTTCTGCTTCATATTTTAAAAAATCAAAAAAAAAAAATCAAACAGACAGCTGAACTGAGCGAAGATACGTATGACCTTCTTGGAATGAATATGGCCTTTAGATACCCTTTGATCAGCTGAGTTGTCCGGTGTAACCGAGGTTCGGTTTAATGGCGTTGGTGTCTAGTCTGTGTGCCTTCCGTTTCCTTTTCTCTTTCTCCCTGACCCTCCCTCTCAACCCTCCCGTTAGAGTAGGACAGAGGTAAGGCTGGACTTGTCTGGGAGACTGAACTCCAAGAATGTACAGGGAGATATTCCCCGTGGTTTATCCTCATGGCGGTAACAAAAACAAGGCCGGCTGTCTGTGTTCTCTTATCACTATTCCTAACATTTGTACATGATAGCTTTGATTCTGCAAGTTAAAGTAAATCATGTGTTGTGACTGGTGCTTTCATATATTTGTGACAATTTTTGAGTAATATTGCATGAAAATGTCCGTGTTAACATCCATTCAGAAGTTTTGTTGTTTTTCTCTAACGTTTGGAAAAGGAATGAGCGAGAAAAGAAGCTGGGAAGGAGAGAAACTCAGTATCTTGAAAACTGAGATTACTTTAGCACCTTAGCCATGCCTAAAACACCTCCTAGTTTTCCTCTCAGTGTAAACGCCTCTCCAACACAATTTCCAGAACCCAAAGCAGGAGAGGTAAGAGTCCAACATGGTTGGGAGGTGCGTTTGCCATAGAGTAAGAGTAAATTCCTTCTTTCCCTGAATCTCAGAAATTCTAGATTAAAAGAACTCCTTCTGTGCTCTTAAGAAAAACCTGCCCCCCTCTTTTTTTCAAGTATCATGAGAAATGAACCCAGGGCACCAGAGAAAACCCATTCTCAGGATCCCTGCTGTTTGCCCTCCTGGGAGAAGGGGCGGGTATGGCCTCAGCAGCCACCTCCACCAGTGAGGGCCTGGCTTCTTTTTCCACTGAGATGGTCTTTGGGTGCCACTCACCTATTTTTTTTTTTTTCACTAGAATCTTTTCTTTGTTTCTGTTCTCCATCTTGTTTGTTAGAGTCTCTCAGTCTTTATTTACAACTTCCTTGCAGCTAGAGCCCTCTCGTCCCAAGAGGTGGCGTTGAACATGACTTTTCATGGCAGCTCTGGCCTCCATCGGTAATGGGAGGCCCTGGAAGCCTTTATCAATTTTTTTCTGTGCCATCTCCAGACTAAAGAGAGCCTCTCTTACATCTTCTTGCTTGCTTCAGAAACCCAAAAGACCATTCCCAAATGAACTGTATTCTGCTCTCTTTCCTTACCCCCATTAAAAAACAAAGAAGGGTGGAGAGGAAGGAAAAGAGAAGATAAAAAGACTTACTACGCCAAGGACAGATTTTGAAACAGACTTGGTAAATATTTCCCTTAGTTCCTTTTTATGGGCACGCTGGTAAAAGCATAAATGCATCCAATTAAAGCTCACACCTGCAGTGGGCAAAGAGAAAACAGAAATATTTGTGAAAGGAATGAATGCACTTCTGTAACCAGATCCTTCTGTTCTGTTCAAGCTTTGGGATTTTGTTATAGTCAGTAGGACACAGATGAAGATTTAGAGGAGAAAAACCCTGGCGGAGTATGTATTCAACTGCATTGTTGTACCATTAGCTGAGTAATACTGTGGAATCAGCGAAAACCATATCCATTTGTAATATGAATCAAAACATGAACTGAATATGTAGTCACATAAAAACAAGTGTGAATAAGCACTCTTTGCTGGGGATGGCATCCTTATGAGACCCTAATGGTTTTCATAATCCACACCATTTATTTTTCTCAGAAGGACTATTGATATTTTCCCGTAAATCTAGATCTTTGGAGCAATGAAAATGGAATGAAAACTCTAGGAAGCACCACAACACAGCTCTGGGAATTCAAAGTAAAGGAAGTTCCAAACTTCATGTGACCTTGGTTCTGAAAGGAGAGAGAAGGCAGCAGATACACAGCCCATCTAAGTTTAAGGAAAGCGTGTTGGCTTTTTCATAATGGCGCGTCCCACAGCATGGAATTATAATACCAGGGTTTTTATATGAGTTTTGGCTTGTTGATAGTTGTACTTATTAAGGGGGGAAAGCTTTTTTTTATTACTTATGCCTCTGAAGAGCTTTAATTCTTTTAGAAATTCAACAATCGTTCTCACCAGCATAATTTTATCTGAAGGGGAAACTTAGTTTAATTATTAAAGGTCCTAATTTCCGTGTCTAATGTATTGGATAGTAATGAAATCTGCCATAGAATTAGTTAGCCAGTAACAATAACCCTCATATTTAGTAAAAAAAAAAAATTGCATCATTCTCAATATTAACTCCAGTTTCATTTCTTTCCATTTTAAACCAAATACTATTTTATTTAAATCAGAGGTTGTAAATAAGTACTTTGATCAGAGGCTAATTTGCTAACAATATTTGAAAGAGAGTGCTTACCAAGGAAAATTTTTAAACCATTTCTTCATACACTCATTCACAAATAGAATTGTGAGAAATCAGCATGCTGTCTTAAGGAATATTTGTACTCTCTCTCTCTTTTAAAAAATACTTGCTTCTAGCTGCTCCTGGCAATGGTGAATTGTTACATTGTGAATATACATCAATGTTTTCCCAGTCTAAAAATTGTTCACATTTTTCCTACATAAGATCCATGGAAGTGTGTCTTTCAACGAGAGGGAAATACAGAAATGATAAAGCAGGGAAACCTGAATGCGATGTGTACATTTTCATCCAACATGGACCATTTATTTGTTTTAATAAATGGAATTTTCAGACTCAATTCAAATGCAGTCAATTTTATTGCAAAGGCCTATGAACCACCTCGCCCATCGGTTAATTTGAGAAGGATAATGACACATAAAGTGAATGTGGAAATGAGAATTCACTGATTTTCTTTAGGGTTTTGTTAGTAGAGGTGCCCTAAGGAACAAAAAACACACATGAGGCTCTTTACAAGCCTTTCTCCCTGTACATCTCAGGTACAGGGCATGGGCATAGAGGAAGGGGATGGGGATGCATCAGGGCTCTGATAGGCTGGACCCATGGTTGGTAAACCACGGCTCGCGAGCCACATGCGGCTCTTTGGCCCCTTCAATGTGGCTCTTCCACAAAATACCACGTGCAGGCGCACACATACAGTGCGATTGAAACTTCGTGGCAGAAGTCGGTATTTTGTGGGAGAGCCACACTGAAGGGGCCAAAGAGCCGCATGTGGCTCACGAGCCGTGGTTTGCCGAGCCGCAGTTTGCCGACCACTGGGCTAGACCAGTGGTTCTCAACCTTCTGGCCCTTTAAGTACAGTTCCTCATGTTGTGACCCAACCATAAAATAATTTTCGTTGCTACTTCATAACTGTAATGTTGCTACTGTTATGAACCGTAATGTAAATATCTGATATGCAGGATGGTCTTAGGCGACCCCTGTGAAAGGGTCATTCGACCGCCAAAGGGGTCGCGACCCACAGGTTGAGAACCGCTGGGCTAGACCATGAAGACAGATGAGCTGCATTCCTACTCTAACAGGCTGAAGGTATGCCACATGGGGATTTTTCTTAAAAAAAAAAAAAAAAGCCCTGGCCAGTGTGGCTCAGTTGGTTGCGCATTGTCCCTTGCAGTTTGATTCCCCAGTCAGGACACATGCCTGGGTTGTGGGCTCGATTCCCAGTAGGGGGCATGCAGGAGGCAGCCAATGGATGTTTCTCTCTCACATCCATGTTTCTCTCTCTTTCTCCCTCTCCCTTCCTCTTCCTTCCTCTCTCTCTCAAATCAATAAAAACATATAAAAAGACCAGAAAGTGCTGTTCTCCATTAGCTATTTATGATTGATCCTGGAACAATACAGGGGTTAGCCGTGCTGACCACTCCCCCACCCCATGCAGTCAAAATCTACATATAACTTTGCATTCCCCCAAAACTTAACTACTAATAGCCTACTGTTGACTAGAAGTCTTATCAATAGCATAAACAATCAACTAACACATATTTTGTATGTTATATGTATTATATACTGTATTCTTACAGTAAAGTAAGCGGGGGGGGGGGGGGGAGGGTGGTGGAAGGAATGTTGTTGTTTTTTTTAACGTGCCTCAGGCATGAAACAGCTCTGGCCACGGACACAGGCATCAAGCTAGGATGAACTAAGGACTGTACATCTGCTTTGCCCCTGACTGATATAAGAGCAACACCACCAATCAGGTGTCTCCTTGCCCATTGCCAGGGGGTGGAAGGAATGTTATTAAGAAAATCATAAGGAACAGAAAATACTGCACATATTTATTGGGGGGAAAAAACCCCACATAGATCTTTGCAGTTGAAACCCCTGTTGTTCAAGGGTGAACTGTACTAGGTAGCTTTTCCTAACGTCCAAGGAAAGACAGCCAATTTGAATATGCTTGCTCTAACTCCTGCAGCGCGAGGAGTGGCGCCTGGGAGCGAACATGTAACCACGGAGGAGAATGTGGGCAGCGCCTGGACATGAGACGCTGAGGAGGAAGCTGGTGGGTTTCACTCTGCTCCTGTTCGGTTGAGCCCCGTGGGAGGATTGCCTCCAGCTCTGGTTCTTTAATAAGCTTTAGATCGCATTTCAGCGCTCACAATGACGTGGGAATTGGAGCTGGGTCAGCTCCAATCCACAAATTGCAAATAAGTTGCCAAGGGAAATCCCTTTCCCTTCGGTTCTGCCCCAAATCTACATTTCTTCTATTTAGAACCAGGAGACTCAAGCAGAGTTTATTTTTAATGAAGGGGGTCACGGCTCCTAGGCCTTTCCTCGGTAAGAATGCCTGCTGTTTCTCTGTGTCCATGAGAGAAGTGGGGGGGGGGGGGGGATACATTTCCCTCTGAGGGGACAGAAAGATCGTGCCTGGTGACTTCAGTCCCTACCATACACAAGCAAACAAGAGCTCCTCTAGCAGGAGCTAGACAGTCAGAGTCACACCCCAGAGTTCCCTTGTGACCTGAGAACCTCCTCATGCTATAAAATGGGGATAAGAATATCAGATTCACTTGCCTCAAAACCAAATGGAAGAGCAAGGGCCCCATGAAGGAAGAGATGATGAAGAAACGGTACACACCGCTTGTATAGCTTTCAAAGAGAGGGACAGATAGATAGTGCCTTCTCACCTCTTGACTCACCTTTATTTTTTTTTTTTTTTACCTCCATGGCCCCTGATTGAGACCCTCAAAGCCTCATGTCTGAGTTCCAGCCACAACCGGCTGGTGTGGCCACTCTCACTCTCACTCTCCTCTCCTCCACTCTAAGCCACCCCACTTACCATAATCAGGACCCTGTTGGTGGCAAGTGGCAGGAAACTAACTGAAACTGGCTAATGACTGATGAGCTCTGAAATAGGTGCGACTTCAGGCTCAGCTGGATCCAGGTGCTCAGGTGATGTCCTCAGGTGTCTCTCTCAGTCCTTGGCTCTGCTTTCCTCTGTGCTGGTTTAATTCTCAGACACACTCTTTCCCTGCAGCATCAGGATAGAGTCAGCAGCCTCAGGCTGACATCTCACTGATTTAACAAAGAAGAAAGATAACAGCTCCGGCAAAAGTCCCGGACTGTATCTGTGACTGTGAAACGCTTCCTAAGACGCATGCCCATCTATCCCTGGACCTAGGCATTGAAGTAAGGTCACTGTGCCACACCAGCCCACTGGTGGGTCTCAGGAAATTGAACTGCTCCTATTGGAGGAGGAGAGATCAAAGGTTAAAGGCAAAAACAAGTGGTGCCAAACACATCTGGCCAGACCCGCTGATGTAAACTCAGGTTTCACTACACTCAGAGGCACAGAGGGTCTGGCTCATTCTGCTCTTATCACCCCATAACATGGGTCCCCCCTCAAACACCTGGCTGTCGAGGCCCACCCTGCTCATCCTACCTTGTTTTCTAAACTCTCTTCTGATTCATCTTGCCTCCTGTTAGTGTAACATTTATAATCCTTCCTGCATGCCTTTGCTTGTGATGTTACCCTGCTGGAATGCCATTGCTCAACTCCTTGCATAGATAAATCTTGCCCATTTCTCAAGGCCTAGTCTGAATTCCATGTTGCCTCTGAATGACTTTAGGGAATATGATCGCTTTCCTCTCTTAACTCCTATTCCCTTGTTATCAGCCTCAGTTTAGTATTTGATGGTGTTTGAGGTCCCTGACTTCGTGGAGCAGTAGACAAGTAAATTGTCAATTACCAGCGAGAAGCTCGCTGGAGGACACAGGTGCATTGCCAACCAGAGAAGATGCTGTTGAAGTTCATGGCTCATTATATGAGAACCTTGTCTCTCACTATAACCTTCTAGGGAGTGGAGAACATCAGTTGGACAGGCCTCTCTTTCATCTTCCTTGGTGGCCAGCATAGCGCTTGGGATCACAGTAAGTACTCAGCAATGATTGCTCATGGATCGTGAGCACAGGACAAATGCCTGCAGAGAAATGGGGCAAGGCAGAGGCGTAACTAGTAAAAGCTGAACTTGTGGGCTTGCAAGGCCAGCCCTCCCCGGCACAACAGTTGGCAGTCGCTCTGTGCACAGAACAATGAGCCAAGCCTTGAGGAGCTTGAGGCCTCTCCTCCCCCAGCGGGTACCAGTTTTGTGTCCCCACAACTTTATGCTTCTCAGCCAGCAGCCCTTGGCCTCAGTGATACCACCACTCTCCAACCGGGAGTGAGATCTGGTAGGCTTAGGTCTAGATGAAATATAGCACTGGCCACATTGCCTTAATCTTAGCCCAGGAAAAGGGTCCTTTCCTCTCACTATGGTGTTTCACTGGGAACACCATCTCTAACTGTCCTCCACTGTGTCTTCATGTGGCTATTTGCATTGAGACACAAATTAATTAGAGTTGAATAAAATTAAAACTGAGTTCCTAGCCATATTTCAAGTACCCAGTTAGCCCATGAAGCTAGTGACTATGATATCAGACAGCGATAGACTACTTTCATCATTACAGGAAATTCTATTGGACCGTGCTATTCCCAAGCAATGATTATCAACCATTTTTACACCCCATACAACTGACCAAATATGACTTTTCCTTGTGACCAAATTTTAACACACACATACACACACACACACACACACACACACACACACAGAAAGTAAAAGTACTATAATGATCTACATATATAAAAGGCTAATATGCAAATTGTCCCCTTGGGAGTTTGACCAGGAGGCTGGGAGTTCAAGTGCTTGCTATGACATGCGCTGACCACCAGGGGTCAGTGCGGAATGAAGGAAGGCCCCAGCCAGCAGCCAGAAGGCACCAATCAGCCCTGATCGCCAGCCAGGCAGAGGGACCCTGCCCATGCACAAATTTCGTGCACTGAGCCTCTAGTCTATATAATAAAAGCCTAAGCAACCATTACAGTGGAATGTCCAGAACAACCAGTTGCTACGATGCGCACTGACCACCAAGGGGCAGACGCTTAATGCAGGAGCTGCCCCCTGGTGGTCAGTGCACTCCCACAGGGGGAGCACTGCTCAGCCAGAAGCCGGGCTCACAGCTGGCAAGCACAGTGGTGGTGGCGGGAGCCTCTCCCACCTCCACAGCAGCACTAAGGAGCAGCGAGCAAGTGGGCGGTAAGGAGTGAGGGGTCCCAGACTGCGAGAGGGTGCAGGCCGCTGAGGGATCCCCACACCCCACCCCCGTGCACAAATTTCATGCACCGGGCCTCTAGTCTATAATAATCACAACAAATGGCCAGAGGCCATGGTCAATCATACAGGCTGTGGCATGGAAGAGACAGGCTGTGGGTTATGTATCATTCCAAAAATATTCCCCTGTCTTTCA